TAGAATAGTCAAATAAGGGTTTTGTAGTGGTGTATGAATAAAATTTGTAACTGAAAGAAGTTGGAACCTAACCCATCCCCCATCCCCCCGAAATAGGATTTTCGAGTTCGGACAATTATCAATTTTTTTTTTTTTTTTTTTTTTTTTTTTTCTTGTCAAGTTTTTTTTCCAGGTAGGTTGAATTTTTTTTCTCTGGCTGTCCCCCTTTCAAAAATGATGTTACGTCCCTGCAAAACCATATGTGTATATTAAGTCTTAGAGTTGAAATCGACCTTTAAATTTATAGTTAAGATATTATAACGGTATTTGTAAGCGGCATAAGAAATTCTTAATTGGTCATGTTTTTGTAGAATGACTGTATATCTCCCAATTGATTCGAAACGCAAGAGCGTGCTCTGCTTCTATGAAATTTCTAAAACGCGGCAAGCTATTGACAAACAAGTTGATGAAACAAAGATATCAACAGTGTTATTTAAGGAGGGATTCTTGTCTGGTTTCTGAATAGATGAAATATTCACAGTATATTTGCTTATATGTCTTATATATTTAGATGTAAGAGATTTAAAAGATCATATTTTTCTTTCCTCATCATAATTGTACAACTTTAAATAGAAATGGTAAACTGAGTTTGAAATCTAGCAGGGACTATATTTTTGGCGGAACGGCGGCGTATGAAAATATATCCTTTTCTGTCTCACAAAATTACTATAAAACAATGAATTTAGTTAAAATTTTTAAACAATCAAAGACTAAAAGAAAATTTCAAATGTAAGTAAAATTAATAATAATGGACTAAAGTTTTAAAATATATCAAATAAATATGATTTTCCAAACAAGTTACAATTTTTTAACTTTTAAAAGCTTCCGATCTAAGTACAGATTTGAGCCAAAAATCTGTAAAAATGTTTTTTCTCTCTTAGTAAACGGTCAAAACTTTTTGTTTTTGTAACAATTAGTATCTTTATATGACTACTTTACCATATGTGAAAATAAGAAAAATTTAAATATACGAAGCATATAAAAATAACTAATATATTCTAAAAATCTAAGAAAAATAGAGGAAATTCGGATCAGCCAATATCTATTTTAGTTAGATTATTTATGTCAATTTCGTAGTAGCATCTGTTAGACCCTATGTGGTAATATCCTTTTATGCAAAAAGAAAAACAATTAATCTTTTGAAATAGAAGTACGCATCGCATGATTGGCAACTGTATTTTTTTATTCTTAAGGCCAAGGAAAAAGATAATGACCTTGACCTGATCTTGCTTTTAAAATAAAACGGTCAAATTTAATCCAATTGATACCATCACTTAATGATAATGTCTTCTTGAATCTATGAAAAATTTCATTAATTTTTAAATACAAGAAATATGAGAAGAATCCCTCCTTAAGATCATCATTTGGCAAGTTCTATGGTCGATGAAATGATCTTGTCAGCAAGCGCATTTACAAGAAAGCAGAAGCAAAGCTAAAAAGACTGTACAAGGAAGCAGAAGGTAATAGGTTAAACATTTTGAAGAAAAATAACCCCAGACAATTCTTTGCCAAATTTAATAAAAGATCAAAATCAACTCCAAAGTATCATTAGAAGATTTTTATGAGCACTTCAAAGGTATCACTGAAGTAGATGAAATTGGTGACTCAAATGTTGCACATGTAAGTGGTGAATGTGTTTTTGATGAACTGGATAAAGAAATTTGTGTAGATGAAATTAAAAGCGCAATTAGTAATTTAAAGCAGGGGAAATCGCATGGTGAAGATGGTATTTTGAATTAATATCTTATTGTATTCCAGGAATATCTGCTTCCTTTGTTATATAAACTTTTCAACTGTATATCAGATACAGGGTTTTTTCCAAAAAGTTGGTCAAGAACCCAGATAATTTCAGAGGTATAAGCCTTGTCAGTAATATGGCTAAATTATTTACTTCAATATTTGTTTGTTTGTTTGTTTTTAAATTAGTACAGTTACTGAGTTCCACAAATACTAAAGAACTATGTAACCTAGGTAAATTTCTGTATTTTTCTTATCAATTAAGAAATGATGTTTCTTAAGAAATTAAGAAATGATGTTTTAAATAGTGTACAATAAGAAGTGATAATACATTAAATGCTATTGTTTATGTAATTGCCACATGTAATGTATATTGTATAGCATATACTACACTTATCCTGTGCAAAGCTTATGTATAAATATTTATGTACATATTTTGTATACCTATGAGATGTAATGTCTCTGGTTCAAATAAAACAAACAAACAAACAAACCTATTTACTTCAATATTGAACAATAGATTATTAGAATGATCCAAAAGTAATTATATTATCATTCTTTGATTAAAAATACTTTATCTAAAAGTAAAAGACTATATTGTGCATTTATTGATTTCAAAAAGGCGTTTGACTCTATTGACAGATCTAAACTGTGGATTAATTTATCAAAAGTGGGTATCCAAGGTAAATTGTTAAATGTCATAAAAGCTCTGTATTATAATGTGAAATCTTGCATTGTGGTAAATGGTCAATTGAGTGATTTTTTTCTGTAACAATACTGGCTTAATGCAAGGAGAAGTATTATCTCCAATTTTATTCAATCTCTATGTGAATGATTTTGAAATGAGTTTCTTAAAATTTAGCTGTATTTCATATGATCTAATGTCACTGAATTTGTTTTTGTTAATTTATGCAGATGATATGGTCCTTTTTTCTGAAACCATTGAAGGTCTGCAATCACTTTTGAATGAATTGTCTCACTATTGCAAAACCTGGAATTCATGCATTAATGTAGATAAATCTAAAGTTTTAATCTTTAGAAATAAGGGCAAAATCAAATCTAATGAAAAATGGTTTATTGGTAATCATGTTTTGGAAATTGTTGAACAATTTACATACTTGGGAATTATTTTCCATTATAATAATAAATTTGCAATGGCGGAAAAACAGCTGTCTGACCAGGGTAGAAAAGCATTGTTTGCATTGAAAAAAAAGCTAAGGGGTTTGTCTCTTAATCATGAAACTTTATTATCACTTTTTGATTGCTATATTGGAGGCATTGTTAATTATGCATCAGAAATCTGGGGAATTCATAAAGGGAACAATGTTGAAAAACTTCATCTCGACTTTTGTAAGCAAATACTAGGAGTTAAATAATCTACATGTAATACAGCTGTTTATGCTGAGTTAGGTAGACTTCCCCTGTTGTACAAAACGGTGTTTTCAATGATAAAATTTTGGAGTAATATTTTATCCAGTGATAACTGTATTATTAGAAATTTTTATGAGAAAATGTATATTAACTGTGAATCTCATCACAAAAAACTGTCCTTTCAGGTTAAGAAATGCTTAAATGATCTTGGTTTTAGTGAAGTTTGGGGTTAACAACAAATTAATACTGCTACATTAAAATTTATAAAACAAAGGATCTTGGATCAGCCTAAACAAGAAATATTTGCTAAAATTGAAGTTCGCAGAAATGTTCTTTCTATAAATATCTACATGATGGGTTTTACCTACAATATTATTTAAAAAAATCTATTCCGGCTAAGTTTCAAAAGTGTATATCAAAGTTAAGATTATCCTCACACCTTTTAGCTATTGAAACTGGGAGATATAATAAAACTAACAAAGCCCAGAGGAAATGTTTTTCGTTGTCATACTTGTGTTGAGGATGAATATCATTTTATACTAGTATGTCCTGTTTATGCAGATTATCGAAGAAAAAAAATTATTAAAAAATATTTCTTTAAAAAACATCCATGTTTAAATTATTGCAATTGTTCAATACAGAGAACTATAAGGATATGTGTAACCTTGGCAAATATATTTATTATAGCATGAGGCGAAGAGATCTTGTAATCCAATAATTGTAATATTTTCCTTCTCTTTATTTCATTATTATTTATGTACGTACACATTGTTCTCCTGTTAATCATCCACTTCTGCACTGTATCCGATTGTATATTGCATTATATTGAATATACTGATAAGCTGTAAACCTTAAAGTAATAATAAAGAAAGAAATATAATCTATCATTAAGTCGAATGTTGACTGACGTTTTTCATACTAATTGTTAGGCCATTATTTACACACTTAATTGTCTACAGAATTTTCCGTTTGTCTAAGCATGACAATGAACAGTACACGGCGAGTGTGACCGGTCGGCAGGGGATGCTTACTCATCCATGGCACCTGATCCCTCCTCTGATGTTTTTTAGAGGTCCGTGTTTGCTCTCTCCCGATTTGTATTGTTTCAATGGACTTTTGAGCTAGATTACTGTTGTAATTCCATATTTCACTTTTTCAGCCTTAATTTCCAAAACCTATTCGATTAGACTTGTTTATTCCTAAAGTAGCCTTGTGGTTATAAAGCGGCCTGCCTGGCATACCTGCCATACGACTGTTCCACACAACTGTACTCAACAGGTTGATTCTGCTGCCAACTGCTCATATAAAAATCTGTCCATTTCATAATAGGGGAAAAAGTTAACACCATCACAAAAAAACTTTTGACTTTAACAAGATTCATAACAAAACAAAAAAAAACAATATATATATATATATATATATAACAAACAAACACAAAGAACAACAAACAAAAACAAAACAATGAAAAGTAAAATCATATCCCCAAAAAGGGTGAAAGTCTTCATGTCTCAGTTCTTCAATTTTACACAGGGCTGCTTTTTCGTGAGTTAAGTTGGCATGTCACGGTCACTTTACTAAACGTAAAATTACTCAAGCACAGCTAGTAAGATATATGTAAACAATGATAATGCTTTAAAATTTCACTACTTTGACAGAATTATTTCAATTAGTTCTCATTGCAAAAATATGTAGTCTTTGAACATTCTAGTATCCCTTGACAGATGCGATTGGATTTTCAGTAATGCGCAAAATGGGTAACGAGACCGTTTAAATACTGTCTATTCTGAGAGAGATATTTACATGTGTATATCTCTCTTGTATCGGGTAACCTGCGCTTAGATTTAAACAGTCAGTCAAGTGCTACAACAAAAGGTTGAACTACTGAAGAATTTTACATTCTTGTTTTAGCAGCTTTGCCTTTTCAGGTACAGTCTTTATCTTTCATTAAGCTTTAATTAAATATCATTTAAAATATTCTTCTGTCAAGAACCACCCTAGTGTTAAGTTATCGTTTTTTGTTTCTACTTTCGTTTTGTTCAACATGGACTCGAAACTCCAAAGTCCTCCATTATTTATCCCCCTCTCTTGAAGTTTTCAAGTTCACATTTTCTCCGAATTCATGTTAAAAACTAAAGTATGGTTGTTACGTATAAATATGAACAATCTAGACTTAAATGTTTATACACGAATATATATTACACGTAAAGGATGACTGCACTTAACGCCTGTTTTTGGGTCTTTTTCGGTTGCTTCTGTGGCTTTTACATCTAAATCTTATTTCAATTTTGTAAGTTTATGAAAGAATCCTGTAAATTTGGAACCAAATTTAAATCTTAAAATCATTTTAGACTGTGATATAATAAAATGATTCAATGTTTTTTGTCCTTACTGCTTTTCAAATATAGTGAATTTACACTTACCTGCCCTTGATTGAACATTAGATATGCATGAGAGGTGGAGCTAACATTGTAAGAATGGGTCTAAAATTAGACATGATAAATAACAATGAATGTTTGAAAAATAGAACGTGATCACTCTTTCCAATCTCCCTCTCCATTCTGTATGGCACGAACACACTACTGACAAAGGTTTCAAAACAAAATTAACAATAGGAGCACGTGTCTATGTAGTTAAAGCAGATTTTATATCAGTGCCAGATGACAACGTGTTCGAACACAATGTCCTAGTAAGCACAAAACATGCTACCTTACAAGTCACGTGACGGAATTTAGGATTCACAAAGTTACCTGAGGTAAGAAATCACGTGGTGAATTATAATATTCAACATGTCACAAGCCTTGGTTACAACACATGGAGCGAATGTAAGAAGAAGCAGTTTTTTTCTCTTTTTAACCTTGAGCGCATGTTTGTCTATTAATCTCCTTTTGACACATTATTATTTATGCAAATATACAACTACTGTTAAACGTAGAACAATAGACAAACATGCGCTGACTAAGTATAAAGTCAGTAAAAAAGTGGGCGTCCTCATTATCGAACGGAGATTCAAGAAATTGTGATGACCCCTGTTTGAAAACAGATTCGAACTTCGTAAATACACACTTTTATTAACCGTAATTAAATAAAGTTGTAGATTGGATGTTGGCCATTCTTGCGATGAAAAGAAAAATGCTTGTTTTGAAAGTTTATTTTGTCGCAAATTTCGCATGTCCTTAAGTGCAGTCATCCTTTAAATTATATACAGGATGTTTCAGCAAACAGCCGGACTTTGTGGTTTCAATAAAAAAGTTGTGCAGTATTTTATGTAAGGAAATTTTGCAAAAATGTAAAGAACATAACCGAACAATTTTATCATAATGAAAGTTTGAGTAAAGCTGGATCATTTATTTTCAACAGGCATCTTTAGAACATGCATGGACCTCAGAGAAAGTTCACAATTAAACGTCATATGTGTTCAAAATGGTCGCAATTTAAATAATGTTTTTCAGTCGGCAACCTCATTTTGTCTCTGAAGTCCCATGTTGCTTAAATTTGAACACAATTTGAAAAATGGTTTTCATCTGAGCACTTCTTTTTCCATATTTTGTATGAACTAGTACAGGCGATTTTTGTTTACATAGTTTAGTTAAACAATATATCCAAAGGGATCCATTCTTGAGAAAAAAAAAAAAAAAAAAAAAAAAAAAAAAAAAAAAAAACTCAACCTGACTGCCCGACTTGATTACGTTTATATCAATTCATTTTGTAAATATTTTATTATTTTGCAAAAATATAGAAATCTAAAGTCGGGACATGTTTGTTGAAACACCTTGTATAATAACAATATTATATTATAACAGGACGTTTTATTTCATTTTTCAAATTTAATGTCATACACGCACATACACACACAGATCACAGTTGCAGAGAGAGAGAGAGATTTAAACGCTGTTTTTCATCAAAGAATTAATTTGGTACCGAAATGATATTCGGTAATCAGAGTCATAAATCAACAAACAAATCCATGAACTATTCTGCAAGAATAACATTTCATTAATTCACGTAGATGGGGGATGGATACGTTATGGTCGCTGCAATCGACTTCGGAACTACTTTCTCTGGTTATGCGTTCTCAACATCCGCGGAGTTCAAGAAAGATCCCCTAAAGATCCACGCTAATCAAGCTTGGGTATCCGGACAGAAGTATCTCTTGTCCTTAAAGACACCAACATGTCTGCTGTTGGATAAAGAAGGGAAATTTGTGTCATTTGGGTTTGATGCTGAAAACCGATTTTCAGATATTGTTCTAGACGAGAAGGAAGACGACTACTTGTTTTTCAACAGATTCAAAATGAAGCTGCACAACAATAAGGTATTCATTCCTGATCTACAGATTTTTGTTATTAAAATTGAAAAAGGTAACAATGAAGGCTCATGAAGCTGTAGGAGCCCTTAATTATTATGCTGACTTTAATTAATTTTTATGTCTTCAGGAATTAACTCGGGAAATGTTACTGGAAGACATTTCAAAAAGAAATTTCCCAGCAATAAAAGTTTTTTCAATGTCCATTGGGGCACTTAAAGACCATTTGATGGACACATTGAAAACACAAGGTTTAATCGTCAAAATTGACGAAATACGATGGGTTCTCACTGTGCCTGCAATATGGTCGGATCCGGCGAAACAATTTATGAGGGAGGCGGCGAAAATGGTCAGTATCATGCAGATGTAGATTTTATGCAACTTTATCCCATTTTAGGGAGATGTCTCAGTGCTTTTATCAAATTCACATTCGATAAAAAAAATCCAATCTAAAACTTCTCAAACTAATTTCCAAAATAAATTTATGCAAAAGATGATCTTTTTTTCAAAAAGGACGACATAAATGTTTTGAATTATTTTATAATCAGGCAGGTTTGCCAGATAAGATGCTACGTATTTCTTTGGAGCCAGAGGCAGCCTCCCTGTTTTGTCAGCATCTTCCTGTCGAGAGGCTAGCTGGGGCTTCTAAAGGGTTCGGAGTCTCCCAGGAAGGCGCTAAATACATGGTCATCGATTTGGGGGGTATTCGCACAAAATTGTTATATGTGAATTTATTCATTTTGGGATGATTAAATCTTAATTTTGAGAAATTATTCATTCATGTTTTAAATCTATTTTGCATTATGCATTCAGGTGGGACTGCTGACATAACGGTACATGAAAAGTTGAAAGACAACAAATTGAAGGAACTTTTTAAGGCAAGTGGTGGTGCATGTGGTGGAACAGCAGTGGACACCCAATTCTACTCTACTATGCAAAGAATATTTAGCGGCGAAGTCATGCACTGTCTACAAAAAGAGAAGACGTTTGCGTACCTGGATTTGATGAGAGAATTCGAGACTGTTAAACGCGTAGTGAAACCTGAAGATGCAGATGACAAGAAAGTGAATATCACAATTCCATATGTGACTATAAATGAATTATGCAAAGATATTCTTGAAGAAGAAGTAGGAGAAGTATTGAAGCATTCAACACTCAAAGACGATATATCATCCATGGGCGACAAATTTCGTATAAGAGTGTCATATATGAAATCATTGTTTCAGAAAACAATCGATGAAATTGTACAGCACATTAAAAACATTTTAGAAAAACCAGAAGCAAAGGATGTGTCGAGACTTCTTTTAGTGGGAGGATTTTCTGAATCCCATCTCATACAAAATGCTGTAAAGAAAGCATTCCCAAAAATGCATATCATCATCCCAGAAGAGGCTGGCTTGGCAGTTTTGAAAGGAGCTGTGATATTTGGACATCAACCAGACTCTATTTCATCCAGAATCATAAGATACTCGTATGGGGTCCGAATCACGCCAGAATTTGACAAGGCTAAACACAGAAATGACAAGAAATTTATGGTAAATGGTGTGGCACATTGTGCAGACGTCTTTTCACCTTTCTTGAAAGCTGGCACTGAAGTTCCAGCTAATCATAAAGTCGTGGATGCCTACACAAGCACCAGACCCTTTCAAGACTCAATGCCAGTAGTTATATACTGTTCTGAGAAAGAATCGCCTCAGTATGTCACTGATGAAGGTTGTAAGAAGCTTGGTGTCTTGGATGTTAAAATCCCCAACCCTTCTGCAGAAGACCACCATTTAGCGGTTCAGTACCAGTTTGGGGACACGGAACTTCACATGCTTGCAGTGGAAGTTCAATCAAAAACACCTTGCTCTGCCAAATTTAATCTAATATGACTGCTATATATCAAATCTTACCGTCCATTCGTGTAATTTTTTACACTTGCACAAAATAGATAATCTGCATACATCGAAATGGTGTTTACTTATTCAAAATGGATTTTTATGCCTCCGTAATCGAATACCTGTGGAGCAGGTATTCAATAAATACAATGGCCAATCAAACTGGGAGTCTGCATAAACACCGCGAGTAAACACATGTTTGATGGATACATGCGGCGGTCAGTAAACATGATAAATACATAATTATGTAGATATTCGTTGCAATACGGGACTTGTACAGAACGGGGAGTCTCTACTTCTCTCTCTTAACTTCCTAAAATTCCCATTTCAGCAAAACTCATGTTGGTAGTGCAGAGAGCAGGTAACATTGTGACGAATATTGCTTTCTCGTTTCTTAAGAAATGGGCTTGTCATTATGTAACAATTGACTTTCGATAAGAAAGACTCAAACGTTCCTTTTAAACGAAAAATTTTACCACTTCAATGCGTATCATTGTAACTTCTGAACTGTTGGTGCTAAACCTTTTCATATTTCACGTGTATTTCTTGTGAGAAGGCCTTTCTTTGGGCATCAACATTTTTGACCTCGTGACCTTGGAGATTGGCCTACTTTTGAAAACTTTAACCTTGGAAAAACTTCTGAACTGTTGGTGCTAGAGCTTTCATATATCACAGGTATATTCCTTATGACATGTTCTGTCTTTGGATACCAACATTTTTCATCATGTGGGCCACAGGGGCCTGTAACCTACTGTGCTTGATTTTACATGATCACTATACACTAGGCAAAATTGCTAACGCACCAGCAAAGAAAATTTATTTTACTTTTCAGAACTTGTTTATGATCTATTTGATATATAAATATGTTACCAACTGAAAGTAAATCATGCGGCATTTCAATGTCTGAACTGGTAAATAACTACAATGTAAAAATGTTGATAAAAACGCTTTGTCCAGGATTTTACCAGACAACCCTTGTACATCTGATTTACACCACTTCTAGATTATGCTGTAGCACAGTACCTCTGAAGTTTCTTCTTTGCAGGAGTTAATATTTTTGTAAGGAATAAATAGGGATGGGTATCGCCAAAAATTTTGTATCGCAATATATCACGATTTTTCTCAAAATATCACGATAATATCATATTTTTACACAATTTTTACTATGATTTTAACTGAATATCCATAATTTTCCCTACAAGTGTGCCGGAAAAACATAGCTTCATTTTTTATTTACATAATATAAAGCGTTTTTTGGGTGCTGGGATGCCGTTCTTTTACTGTTTTCAACATTTTTTAGACTACCTGTAATTGTAATTTGAAAGTTTGAACAAATAAATGAACAATTTCTGGTATTTATAATTATATACCGAAATACCGGTATTTTAGTCTCCGTATCACGATACGTATCACGCAATTAAAAATCACGATATACCGGTATACCGATAAAATCGCACATCACTAGGAATAAAGATATGAGCTTGGTAGAGCATTTGCTGAACCCAACAATGTATATATATCTCTGTTTGGAGGATTTTTTTGGAGTTTAGGAATCCAGTATAGGGATTGAAGTCACCTTGGTTGACTGGAATGTTAAAGGTATTAAACACTGAAATATGATTTTGAAGAATTTCATC